GTTGTTTACAGCAATGACTCCTGTCCCATTTCCCTATCATACCTAGTTTTAAAAGTATGAATAGTATTTGCTTCCACAACCTGTTCCCCAAGTGCATTCCATTTTTCTACTACTCTCACGCTAAAAGAAAACTTCCTAACATCTCTGTGACTCATCTGAGTTTCCAGTTTCCACCCATGTCCCCTCGTTCTGTTATTATTACGTGTGAACATTTCATCTATTTCCACTTTGTCAATTCCCCTGAGTATTTTATATGTCCCTATCATATCTCCTCTCTCCCTTCTTTTCTCTAGTGTCGTAAGGTTCAGTTCCTTCAGCCGCTCTTCATATCCCATCCCTCGTAGCTCTGGGACAAGCCTCGTCGCAAACCTCTGAACCTTCTCCAGTTTCTTTATGTGTTTCTTCAGGTGGGGGCTCCATGATGGCGCGGCATACTCTAAGACGGGTCTCACGTAGGCAGTGTAAAGCGCCCTAAAAGCTTCCTCATTTAGGTTTCTGAATGAAGTTCTAATTTTCGCCAGTGTAGAGTACGCTGCTGTCGTTATCCTATTTATATGTGCCTCAGGAGTTAGATTAGGTGTCACATCCACTCCCAGGTCTCTTTCTCGAATCGTTACAGGTAGGCTGTTCCCCTTCATTGTGTACTGTCCCTTTGGTCTCCTGTCACCTGATCCCATTTCCATAACTTTACATTTACTGGTGTTAAACTCCAGTAGCCATTTCTCTGACCATCTCTGCAGCCTGTGTGTGTGTGTGTGTGTGTGTGTGTGTGTGTGTGTGTGTGTGTGTGTGTGTGTGTGTGTGTGTGTGTGTGTGTGTGTGTGTGTGTGTGTGTGCGCGCGCGCGCGCGTGTGTGTATGCAGCAGCCGAGGCGGGAGCGTCATTAGAAGAGGAGTGGTAGAAAATGCAATTTGCGAATAACAAAGTTTGATGTACGCGCTCAGTGAAAATTGTCTTCATCAGTGACCTAAAAAAACGCACACGAAATGCATCTTCTGCAATATGGTAAAAACTTTTTTTTTTATCATAATAACCATGCAAATAATACGTGAAAGATTGTCGGAGTTTTAATATAATAATTTTATTTAGGTTTTCTAAAGCCCCAACGGTACAAATGAGATACCCACAACCTACACATTAGGTTGACAGTGAATATGACCTGGGTATGGACCACTAATGCTAATGTACTTGTTAGCAGCCGGGAAAAGTCTAAAATTTCAGTTGGGTAGCGGTTTGTTGCCTCTGAAATCTTTCCTATTGTGGCTGTCTCATTTATACAGTGGTAGAGATTGAAATACATTGAAATATAAAAGAAAGCTATAATGTTTTCAACTGTTAGGTCTTCTTCAGTAGCTAGGGTAGAGTCTAACAACTCTAACAGTAGCTAGGCTAGGCAAGAGTCTAGAAGCTAGACGAGTACTCTAGGCTAAGCTAGAGTCTAGCCTAGCTACTGAAGAAGCTTCTATATATCAATGTGGGTTTTACCGTATATTCATAAATATATTCGAGACTCAGAATAAATGTGGACAATAACATTTAATTTCCTTGGACCATCGGAGCCTCGAACCCAGGACCTACAAAAGCGGAAGACTAAAGTTCTGACAACCAGGCTACTGGGTTGTATTTGCAACGTTGATTACCATAACGTAAAAAAAAAAAAAAAGACAGGGTGCAAGTCAAATCCCATCCATCGCAGCACCTAACATCAAACATCTCGAGGTCCACCTTCTCAGAAGTCATCAAGTCGTAGATGTCACGCGAGAAAGCGCAATCTGATATGCAGTATTTACACATTAATTTACAATATAAAATGTAAAACAAAATTCGAAATGTAATCAACTGGCGCGAGAGACTGATGAGACAGCATAGGGCCTGAAATTAATTAAAGTTTATAAAGATAAAAACGCAATAATTATAACATGCAGTCACGAGAGTGAGCAAGCGTATATAGAACCTACACATATATTTCCTTGATAACACACACACGAGACAAATTATTGCCTTAGGCTCGCAAGCCATACAGGAGTACAAGAAACGTGGTGGTATTGAGGAAATATATACGTAGAAACTATACGTTGTTCTTAGCAAAACCTGATCGGAAAATACAGTCTGAATAGATTAGGAAGGTTTTTCTTTAGGTTCGTTCACACTTAGCCGGAACAACAATGTAACTAGCACGGGTGTCCACCATAAGAAAGGCCTGTATGCTCAACCTGAAGCCTCAACCCTGCGCCTCTCATTTAGAACTCCCTCTCTCTCAGCTTCCCTTCCTCCCCCTCAATTCTTTGTCTAATGTGTAGACAGCGCTGAAGGACTGAAGTATTTGGTGTACATTTTCTGTGTGCGCCGAAACATCATAATTGGCGTAATCCCTTCCCCGAAGTTCCTAGATGGGTGGCCGTAGTTAAGCACCTTTCTAATTACCTTTGGTTCCCGTCGCTAGGAGACATAAAGAGGGGGTGGGGCTGGTACTGAGGCGGAGGCAGGGTTGGGGTGGACTGGAAATGGACCGGGAAGGGGGGATGGACCGAATGGACTGGAAATGTACCGGCGGCGACGCAGGACATGAACGTGGACAGGTGGTGGTGCTGGGGGTGAACGAGGAGTGGGGCTAGGAGTTGTATGGGGGTTTTGGGAGTTGCATGCAAAGGTGGGAAGGCTGGGATTTGACGGGGGCGGGTCTAGGACTGAACGGGGGGTAGGGATTGGACAGTGGCGGGGCTGGGAGTTGTCGGGGGCGGGGCAGGAGAGACGGTGGATGGAGAGGAGACACTAATAAAGAGGAGACAAACGGTTACAAGAGACTCGATTCAAAGAAAATATAATTGGCCGAAGAGCGGGATCTTCAATTTTATGATTTTCTCGTCAATATTGATCCGTTCAATGAAGTTACGTGAGAAAAGGACAGATGGGCACGTTCCTTTTATCTCCACGAGTGTCAGTATACTAATGTTTAGTAGGAGACAGAAGTAGGGACCAGACAGAGACAGGACAGACGTATAATCTAACGGAATAAAACCAAATTACACATTTAGCAAATGGCAGAGTTTACGACGTACTGAGACATAAAAATACCTTGTTTTTGCTGAAGGTTATATTGAATTACGTTTTTTTTCGCAAATTAGATGTTTTTCTCCTTTACCTCGTCCAGTCTGATCCAATGTAAAATTTTGAATTTGATAAAAGCACTTACAGACACACAGACACACACACACACGCGCACGCGCGCACGCACGCACGCACACACACACACACACACACACACACACACACACACACACACACACACACACACACACACACACACACACACACACACACACACACACGCACACGCACACGCGCACGCACGCACGCACGCACGCACATTACACAGGACTTCAATGAATAATATTACCTACGTGTGGTGGTGATGGAAGAGACGCAAGAGATGGGCCCTAAGTGCCAAATATACAGACATCTACTGTAAAGGGTGAGAGTAATAGCTTTTTAAAAACAAATATATAATTCAGAGAAACTGAAGCAATAATTCGAGACGGGAAGAAGACTACACCAATTAATAGTTTTTGCGACAGCTACAGAAATATTTTCTTAGGTTTTACGATAGAGCCGCATAAATATTGCAAGAAAGGGAAGGCTGAACCGATTGCATATATCATGGACCTACATAAAAAATGCGAAAAGATGTATAACTTGTATTAGTAGTTTTATGCTACTAAAACTAAACTAAACTTAGGTTAGATTAGACAATAAAGAACACGTTAAATTTAACACTTGTCAAATCATGAGAAGGACTGAACCAATAAGCCTACCACGGCAGTGAGGAAGCCTTGCGTGAAGAATGGGGTCATAAATTATGTTTTAAATATACATATAATGCACACACGTGGGCAAGGCTGAAATAATGTTTGGCCATTGTAGTGAGAATGTGGTGTCCGCGCGGCAGCTCTCCAAAAATGCACTAGGCTAATACTTGTTTGGGAGTGAACCATTTTCTTTTAAGTGAAGCTGGATTGACGCTGAGGCATAGTGTAGTCCCGAATTTGAATCAACTGTGGGCTCATTTCCATGCGAAAAACATTTTTGGGCTGAAACGCGTCAAGTTTAGAAGGCTACAGGGAACAAACTTCATCAAGTTCTGAGGTCGTTAGTAACGGACGTTACTGAAGTGGTTTGTGTCAACAAGTTCTGGAGTAGGTAGTAACGACACGTTCTGGAGTAGGTAGTAACGTCTGAACAACAAAAGAAACTATACAGATCTTTAGGTCTGAAAACATATGTTGCTGTAACACTTTCCTCGACTTTGTGCTTTTTTTGTATCATCTATTTTGTTGCTGTAACTCCTGTTTCACTGTGTTGTTGTAATTCCTGTTTCACTGTGTTGCTGTAACTCCTGTTTCACTGCGTTGTTGTAACTCCTGTTTCACTGCGTTGTTGTAACTCCTGTTTCACTGTGTTGTAACTCCTGTTTCACTGTTGCTGTAACTGTTTCAGTGTGTGTTGCTGTAACTCCTGTTTCACTGTGTTGTTGTAACTCGTGTTTCACTGTGATGTTGTAACTGTTTCAATGTTGCTGTAACTCCTGTTTCACTGTGTTGTAACTCGTGTTTCACTGTGTTGTAACTGTTTCAATGTTGCTGTAACTCCTGTTTCACTGTGTTGTTGTAACTGTTTCAATGTTGCTGTAACTCCTGTTTCACTGTGTTAATTTTATCCCACCTTTAATACTTGTTGCCCCGGTAAATTTCCAGAAATTAAATGTGTTATCTTGAGTGTCAGGTTAAGGTAGTCCTTATCCCAATTGTACTCTCACTGCCTCCGCCTATTACCTCTTCCTTCTCGTTTCACCTACACTACCTCCTCCTCCTTCCCTCACCTACACTACCTCCTCCTCCTTCTTCCCTCGCCTACACTACCTCCTCCTCCTTCCCTCACCTACACTACCTCCTCCTCCTTCCCTCCCTTACACCTCTTCCTCTCGCCCTCACGTCACCACCCACCTGGAGACCTGAAGGTGTTGTCTGGTTCGTGGACGGAGCGGACGGAGCGACGATGAAGGTTACAAACATAGGTGGCCATGATCTTGACGTCCCTGGCGGAGCAGAGCCTGATGCCCCGCTTGTTCCTGGGTGGCGGCCTCGTCTCCACCACCAGCGTCGCCGCCGTCAGCACAGCCACCAACATCAGGGCTCCAACGCCTCGCATGTTGCTTCCGGCCACGCTGGAGGAACGGCGCCTCGCGAGGAATACAGAACCCTAACACTCGGGATTTGTTTCTGTGTTTTAGTTTAAAAAACAAAAATACACAAAAATTTAAACTTTGCAGTGTTGATCGGAGCTTCAGATGAGAAGTTTCGTGTTGGGACTGTTGCCTTTAGATTGAAGTTCGTGGCCCAAGCGAATAACTACGTCCAAGCGAACACGTCTGCAAGAGAAGATATATATGTTTCACTTTTATGAAGAAGTAATGAATTTAGTAGTGCTATAATTTGTTCCTAATTAGAACACATGCGTCAGATATATATATATATATATATATATATATATAAATATATATATATATATATATATATATATATATATATATATATATATATATATATATATATATATATATATATATATATATATATATATTAGGGAAGAAGTTTATTGGGCCTGATGTGTTCCGCGAAATTACGTATTTCACTGACACAATCTTTGATATTTAACGAAGCCAACGAAAATTGAATATATTAAAGTGCACAAAGACACTTGAATTAAAGTGCACAAAGACACTTGTATTAAAGTGCTTGTATTAAAGTGCACAAAGCCACTTGTATTAAAGTGACACTTGTATTAAAGTGCACAAAGACACTTGTATTAGAGTGCACAAAGACACTTGTATTAAAGTGCACAAAGACACTTGTATTAAAGTGCACAGACACTTGTATTAAAGTGCACAAGGACACTTGTATTAAAGTGCACAAAGACACTTGTATTAGAGTGCACAAAGACACTTGTATTAAAGTGCACAAAGACACTTGTATTAAAGTACACAAAGACACTTGTATTAAAGTACACAAAGACACTTGTATTAAAGTGCACAAAGACACTTGAATTAAAGTGCACAAAGACACTTGAATTAAAGTGCACAAAGGCACTTGTAATGTTTAGTAGGAGACAAGTGCACAAAGACACTTGTATTAAAGTACACAAAGACACTTGAATTAAAGTGCACAAAGACACTTGTATTAAAGTGCACAGACACTTGTATTAAAGTGCACAAAGACACTTGTATTAAAGTGCACAAAGACACTTGTATTAAAGTGCACAAAGACAAGCGGGTTATTAAGAACAAAGACATAGCTAATAAAGTTCAACAAAGACAGCTGGTAAAGCAAACAAAGACACCTGATAAAGCACAAAAATGACACAGCCTAATAAACATAAACAAATAAGTGAATGATAAGGAACCCGTGAAAGATTTCGAACAAGAACAAGTATGTATATCTAAAATTTAACTCTAGTACAAGAAATCTTAAGACAAAGACACAACAAACAAACGAATAGTTAAAAATGACAACAAAATTCAAAAAATAAAATTCGTTGAAAAGTAAGACGGAAAAGTCAATGGATTGAACGTAGACAGTTACGAGGTGGTTGTAGACAGTCACAAGGGGTTGTAGGCACACGAGGAGTGTAGACAGTCACAAGGGGGTTGTAGACAGTCACGAGGTGGTTGTAGACAGTCACCAGGTGGTTGAGACAGTGGTAGGCACACGAGGGGTGTAGACAGTCACGAGGTGGTTGTAGGATGTGTAGACAGGGGGTTGTCACCAGGTGGTTGTAGACAGTCACGAGGGATTGTAGACAGTCACGAGGGGTTGTAAACAGTCACGAGGTGGTTGTAGAGAGTCACCAGGGGATGGAGAGAGAGACTATTGGTTGTAGATTGACACTATTTGTTGTAGATAGCCGCGATGGATTTAAGCTAGACATGATGGATTTATGATAGACATGATGGGCTATAGATAGAACCGATGAGGTTGTAGATAGACGCGAGGGATTGTTGTTGATAAACGTGAGGAATTGTTTAAGGGGAAAAACACATTGATATGTGGGGGAAGACAAGGATAAGTTCAAATAAAAGACGCAAATATCTTACGGAAAACTACACAAGGTATAAGAGGAGTAACACGAGTTATAAGAGGAGTAACACGAGGTATAAGAGGAGTAACACGAGGTATAAGAGGAGTAACACGAGGTATAAGAGGAGTAACACAAGGTATAAGAGGAGTAACACGAGGTATAAGAGGGGTAACACAAGGTATAAGAGGAGTAACACGAGGTATAAGAGGAGTAACACGAGGTATAAGAGGAGTAACACGAGGTATAAGAGGAGTAACACGAGGTATAAGAGGAGTAACACGAGGTATAAGAGGAGTAACACAAGGTATAAGAGGAGTAACACGAGGTATAAGAGGAGTAACACAAGGTATAAGAGGAGTAACACGAGGTATAAGAGGAGTAACACAACGTATAAGAGGAGTAACACGAGGTATAAGAGGAGTAACACAAGGTATAAGAGGAGTAACACAAGGTATAAGAGTAGTAACACAAGGTACAAGAGGCGTAACACAAGGTATAAGAGGAGTAACACAACGTATAAGAGGAGTAACACAACGTATAAGAGGAGTAACACAAGGTATAAGAGGAGTAACACGAGGTATAAGAGGAGTAACAAGTATGGCACGAGAGGAGAAAGCTCGTATGGTACAAGAGGAAGAGCTGGGAAGGGGGTCAGGATAAGGATTTGGGATGGGACAGGTGGGGGTAAAGAATGGTGCCTCAACCACTAGGACGGTCGGGAGATTGAACGCCAACCTGCATGTAGCGAGACCATCGCTCTACCGTCCAGCACAAGTGTGTAAGAGGAGGGACACACATTCTGTAAGATTTACGCATGATCTAAGAGAAGATAGGCAGGAAGACATTCCAGCGATCTATTGAACTCGCTGATGGCATGGTTGATGTAGCCAGTGATGGTGGAGATGATTGACGTAACAGGTGAAGTTGGAGATGATTGACGTAACAGGTGATGTTGGAGATGATTGACGTAACAGGTGATGTTGGAGATGGTTGAAGTCGCAGGTGAGGAAGGAGATGATTGCTGGAGCAGCGACTGTGGTCGAGTTGAAGAAACTTAGATAAACTATGAATATCAAAGAGGCAGGCGAAGCGTGATGAAGACCTGCCTGTGGTTGTGGTGGCTAGTGGTCCTGCCTGTGGTAGTAATGGTGGTAGTGGTGAGCGGTCCTGCCTGTGGTGGTGGTGGCGGCGGCAATGTGTCTTGGGGATGGCGAGCGACCGTTGTGACGGGGCGGAAGGACACAGCGGGAGTGACACACCGTAGACCATGCGTCCACAGCCTCACCAACCTCTGGCCCGCCCACCGCCCACCTGCACACGCGCCGCCGCCCACTGCAGGTAGCCCACCCTCCCACACACACACACACACACACACACACACACACACACACACACACACACACACACACACACACACACACACACACACACACACACACACACACACAAATCATACGTTCAACACAATGCGTTCATATATATTTACACACAATCGTTTACTAAACATTCTTTGGGGCACACGTGAGGTGATTTGATAAAATGTTATGCCCAAGATTACCATCCGAGTGCCGGCGGAGAAGTGGTTCAAATAGCTTCGGCTATCACTTCCTTATGTCCGGTCGTGATGGTCAAGTGGATTAAGGCGTCCTGTACATACCAGTTGCGTTGCTCCTGGCAGTATGGGGTTCGAGTCACTTCTGGGGTGTGAGTTTTCAGTTGCATATATTCAGGCTTGTATATATATATATATATATATATATATATATATATATATATATATATATATATATATATATATATATATATATATATATATATATATATATATATATATACACGAACACACTATTTGGCTCTCCACTCTAGGGGAAGGTAGGTTAACTAAGGAAAGACTGATATCACCCTCACCCTCCACACCACAAAAGGGTGACAGGCCATCATACTATATGAACCCAGTATCCGTTGTGTATAGAAGTGTCTCTTTTATATATATTTCTTCCTCCCTTTCCGACTGTTATCTATTGTTCGCTTGTGCCTCCACGTCACCTATATACCTCAATGCATTTGAAGAATAAATATTAAGAAGTTCTCCGTTCTCCAATTCTCCCTCCGCGCAGGCACGCAAGTAAAACTATCCGGATCAGAATCGCTGTTGAATAGAATTTTTCCCGCTCGCTGAGGCATTGTGCTGCGAGGGTGAAGTTAGCTAAGCTATTGGCAAGGCGAGGCTCTGGTTTCCCGGGGCCTGAATACCGCGTCTTGCGTACCCAGCGACCAGTTTCCCTTTGAGAGAGGCTGTGCCCGTATGTTCCGGCTTGCCAGAGGCTGCACTGCTTTCTTACACCTTGACCATTGTAGCACTTGACGATAAAAGCACTTTATCATTGCAGCACTTAACGATAGCGCCACGTGATAGTAACATCGCTTAACGTCACTTGACTATAGCAGCCCTCTACTTGGCTACAGAGCAATTATAGCAGTGTTTAATGGTTTTGTGGGTTCTAGGAAAAGGACTAGTTAATTACATTTATTTTGATAACTAATGTACGAGACTCTTGTATGAATCTGAACTCCCAGAGCCCTTACGTGACCCATGGCGCTGTTTATTTTGAATATAGACCTGTAGGGGTACTGCGCTCAGTAAAAAGCAGCCAATGGGGCACTGCGATACAAACACATATGAAATACACTACATAGCTATACAACCATAAACGAAATAACCACTCACTACACAACCATACTCTACAACACTACACAACATAATACACACTGCACAACCATACACAACATAATCACACACACTACACAACCATACACGACATAACCACGCAATACACGACCATATACGACAACAACTCACTACACATCCATATCATTTCCACACACTTGATAAAATCAACTTGGTTTTGGAGCTTGAGAAGCTCAGGAATCTGCACACCAGTAGATTGACGGTTGAGAGGCGGGACCAAAGAGCCAAAGCTCAACCCCCGTGAGTACACTTCATAACCATACCATACCCGAGATTAAAGTTACTTAAATCCAACATTATGTTTGTAACTCATCTTCTATGCATGTACTTTTATCTGAATAAAAATTTGAATTTGAATTATTTTGATAAGTTATTATTGATATTAATTGTCTGTTCTGCCTATCTTGCCGATATTGTAATCCATTATTTGTATTAAATTGTTAGATTTTTTAATTTATATATTATTATTAGCTTCGTTATTTATTTTTATCTATAAATATTAGTTTCCCTATTTGTTTGTTGTAGTATTATTTTGTTTATGTGCCACGCTCCAGCACAACGCATCGCTGTGTGATGCTTCACACAGCTTCAAAGCTCAGCCATATCTTCTTCCCCTCACCCCATTCCCCTTACCCAAGTTCCTTTTCCCCTCTTCCCTTCTTCCCTTCTCGAAGCTCCTCCCACCTGCACCGGAATACACTTGATACACTTGGGAAGACATATTGAAATAGTTCCGGTGTTCATCGTCCTCTTCTGACTAGGCTTTTAGTTTGTTGTCAATTGAATTAGGCTTGAATAAGCTCGCCTGGAGCACTTTTTACGTCGGAGACATCTTGTTTTTATCGGCAAAAGGCGATAGTTTCTTGTCATATTACAAGTCATTCTCATCTTTCTTTTCGCCAAGGAAGCGATGAGGAGAAAGCCACTATATGATTATATAACACATGCAAGTTGGTTTGAACTAATGCAGCCCGTAATTGGTAATACAACATCTTAGATTTACAGACACTGAAGATATCTCTCCAATTTGACTTGGAGAGGTAAAAGTAGACATTTGTACTACACAAAAAATATATACCCTAATATTGTTATACTGAAATGTAGAATTTCTGATGTAGCCTCAATCACTGAGAGCTATGAGCAAGGTGGGAAGATTTTCTCTCTAGTATTTTAGTCAGTGGATTGAAGCTGCTTCCTGGAAGGAACCACTTAGACTTGCTAAACAACTGTACTTCAAGTATGTTTATGGATAAAATACATCTGAGAGAGAGAGAGGGAGAGAAGCTTAAGGTATTTACTACCCTCTTATATGTCTTTATTATTACAAGTTACTCAAGTGGTTCACAAATAATCACAGCACATTTAATACTTATTACATTAAAATAATGTAGTCACATAATTATCATAATTAGGTAATTAATTAATTACAATTACATTTACATAAATGTTACTTGTTACAGTGAAAAAATCTAAGAATTCACTCATACCATTCTCACGCATCTATATAACTTGACGTGACACATTACAAATTTCATTATTTATTTAATTAACAAATTGAATCCTAGAATATGGTGATCCAGTGTGTGTGAGGCTGTCTATTGTATAGTCCAAACCGAGTAAGATGTCGTTATACTAGCACATGGATGGGATGTAGTGCAAAGTGGTACTTGGATGAGATGTTGTGTATAGTGGTACCTGGATAAGATATTCGTACATATTCTGCACAAAAATGGGCTTATTTGCAGATATACAAAATTGTACTTAATACTGCTGATATTAAAACTATCTCACAATGATTTTAGCACAAAATTGAACTCAATATTTACATTTTTATACTGAACTGAGATGTCGTAGTTGCTGACTGTGAATGTAAACTAGTAGTTAGCGTCCAGTCTCACTCGCTCCGCAAGCAATAAGACCCGGGTTCGATTCTTCGGCAGCGAGATGATTGGTCACCTTACTGTTCTCTATTGCGCACCCTAAGGCAATTGGGGTTGTAGATCGAATGGTGGATCGTGCGTGGGTGGACAAGTTGTTTACTGTTTTACATGTGTAGAAACAAGAGCTCTTAGTCTGTTAAAAAATCTAAAGGCTTTTACTCCGGTATTCGCTCTATGAACATAAAAATATAGCACAGTGAGGCTGGGTTGTAAAATTTATGGAAGGGGGGATTTCAGTGTAAGGTTCCCCCAAAAATTGCACAATTATATACTGTCGTACATATATACATTAGGACGAGACAGACTGATTTTTTGTAAACTCTCTCTGCTACAGGAAAGTCCTCTGCTCCTCAAGAACTTTCACCACCTGGGGACAGTTCCTTCTGGCGGCCTCTCTGACGATGGAGTCCCCAGACAGATTCGGGTGAAACTTGCCGGAGAGATGGTTGAACAGGTGAAGTGAGTAAGCATCGGTGCTCTTGAAGAAATCTGGTCCGAGTCCTTCACCATCCTTGAAGATAACTTCCCACGGGGCTTGATTGGGAGTCGGGTAGAAGAGTCGCCTGGGCCAGATGGTGATATTGCCGCAGGACTCTTGCTGGTCGTGGCTGACGGAGGTGCTGAGGGCGGCGGGACAGAGACGTTGTACGTGGTGGGTCAGGAGCATCGCCCCGATGCTCAAGTAACCGCTTGGTTCAAACACTTCAGGAATATCATTCACAAACGCCTGTAAGAATGATTGCAAAATTAATGTTTAAAATCTATACATATATAAACAGCAAAATATATGACAATATATTTATATCAAAAGTGCGACATTCAGATGGTTATTTAATGAAATATATTTCATAATATACGAATGCCATTTGCTATATATTTCCCAGTTCAGGTAATATAGATAACAGATAATTAATGCTTCAGTTGATGTGACGACAATGTCACGCTGACTAGGAGGCCCACAGCCAATTGCCTCCAGTCAGACACATTGCATCAATGATGAGATGTTGCATACATCAACATCCTCCTCCTGCTCATCTCTTCCTCCTCCCCCCCTCCCCATTGAAAATAGTCACTGATTCAAACGTCTGTCTTGCATACATCATGTTAACGTCATCAACACATAGGGCACTATTTATTGATGACCTTGAACCCCAAGCTGACATCATGATGTCCCTGGTAACCCCAAGCTGACATCATGATGTCCCTGGTAACCCCAAGCTGACATCATGATGCCCCTGGTAACCCCAAGCTGACATCATGATGCCCCTGGTAACCCCAAGCTGACATCATGTCCCTGGTAACCCCAAGCTGACATCATGTCCTGGTAACCCCAAGCTGACATCATGTCCCTGGTAACCCCAAGCTGACATCATGTCCCTGGTAACCCCAAGCTGACATCATGTCCCTGGTAACCCCAAGCTGACATCATGATGCCCCTGGTAACCCCAAGCTGACATCATGCCCCTGGTAACCCCAAGCTGATATCATATCCCAAGTAATCAAAGATGGGCAAGACCGAGTTCCAAAAGTATCGACTTCCTGGAACTTGGTCCATTATAAAGAGTAGAAAAAAAGGGGGACTGACGGTCTATTTTAAATAATTCCAGACGGTCCTTTTTATGTATATTGTGGAATTAATCGTCCTCAAATCGAAGAGGTCATGGCTCAGTAACAGCCATTTTAAAATACCGAAATTGAATTTAAAGTTTATTGAGGTATAAATACACACATATATATATATATATATATAAGGGATGATATTTATATATATATATATATATATATATATATATATATATATATATATATATATATATATATATATATATATTAATACATTTTATTAAGATACATATTAAAATATTTGTCTTCTTGAGGAAACGTGAAGTATTCAACTTACAAAAGAACTTATTACAAAAACTATAAGAATTCTATGGTATAAGAACTATAAGAATTATACAAGAATGTAAGAACTCTTGTATATATTTATATAAAAATAAAAAACTAATATATATTTTATCCTACTATCGTTATATTATGTATTATATGGAATATAACTTTAATTTACTAAAATCAATCATTAATGATTTCCGGTGTCTTCATTTACATTGACCAAGTAAAGGTCACGAACTTTTTTGTTTACGATAATATACGAATTCCTTTACGTAAAATTTCCTCCGTTCCTCTCACCTGCCAGAGTGAATGACGAGCCTCGAAGCTGAGGATTCCTGTCGTGATGACGTCTTCAGCGAGTCTGGCCATCCAGTTGGTGGAGCTGGGCAGCGGACGGAGGGTAATGGCATCAAGATCTATGTAAGTCCCTCCGTACCGTCTCAGGAGCTCAGCCCGGGCGCCGTCACTCACCATGACAGCCATATGTCCTGGTGGAGGTGGGACGAGTGAGTCAGTAGGACGTAATGACGAGGGTACTTGAGAAAGACAGACAACAGAACACCTATAGGACCATGACTTGGAAAGTCAGGAAGGTAAGCTAAGAAAACGCCAAGTTAGTATAACTATAAGCACTTGAAAGGGATGTGAAGACAGATTGATGGACCGGTGTTCATATGGACCATCGGGAATCCTGTAAAGCTGAAGCTCGGCGACCCTGTAAAACGAAGTCGCCGCAGTACCAAATAGTCCAATTAAATGGATTAGACTGTAGAAACTACCAGTGGGTTAGATTCAGAATGATTTCATAAGCCACTGAAAATAATTTATAAATTATTCACTCTGGTTAGTTTGTGTTTTGAAAAAGACAAAATTTATAAATATATAAAATAGTAATAAATCTATTTTGAGAAAACGCAAAATAATAATAATAATAATAATGATAATAATGATGATAACTTAAACAGTCATGATTTCCCAATTGTCTGGGACAGGAGGCCTGTTAGACTTATCAAGGTTCCACTAGGCAAACGATTGACTCCAAGATGCAATCTACAACACTTGCCTAACTCCCGGCTCCCTAGTTACTACTAGGTGACCAGCGGCATGAGGTGAGAGGAAATTTTGTCAAATAATTCCTGCTCTGACCAGGATTCGATCCCGGAACTTACGACTGAGCATCCAAAGTCTGTCGCGGTGCCATGCGCCCATAGGCTCCTCGCTGAAGATCTGGTCGAGGTCCAGCCACGCCATCTTCACGTTCCTCAGGCTAGACACTACCTGCAATTCGAGGAGAACCATTACACAATAACCCCCTAAACATTCGTCTGTGAAAGCGATGAGTCACAATAACGTGGCTAAAGTATGTTGACCAGACCACACACTAGAAGGTGAAGGGACGACGACGTTTCGGTCCGTCCTGGACCATTCTCACAATCGACTTGAGAATGGTCCAGGACGGACCGAAACGTCGTCGTCCCTTCACCTTCTAGTGTGTGGTCTGGTCAACATTCGTCTGTGAAGTTTACAGGTGTGTTAGTTAGCCAAGAACTAGCCAAACTACTTATAACACATATTTCAGCTTCGCTAGGTACGCTGGTTGCAATCAATATGATAAAATTCTGATCTTTTGCGAGTTCAAACATGTTAAATAAACAATCGTGGATTAATTTGGTTTACTTTGAGCAAGTTACACAGTGAGAGTCGACTTACTTGAATGAGTGGGTGGGTGTGGTTGAGAGTGGGAAGGGCCATGAGAATGAACAATGGGCGATGTGGGTGGTGTCGGGCAGCACTCTCTACAGCACAGGCCTGGTGGAGCGGAAAGTATCAGAGGCAGCACAAGATGTATTTAGCATAACACAAGGAGTACATTGCGACTTGCACAGCACACGCACTCATTGTGTGGCCTGCTAGTACAGTGCACACACGTGGAGTACAGAGTAACATACTTGTAGTACAGTGGTGACTTGTACAAATACAATTAGGGTACAGGGGGGGGGGTACTAGTGTATCACGCGTTAATTGCATCAACCCCATATAATAATCAGGGTAATTTCACCAAATAACAACTAAAACATACCTCTCTACCAACGAGCCAACTCCTGCAGGTTACTTGAAGAAAGTAGATGCTATCCTCAGTAGGTGGTGCCCAGGTGAGCCTTTGGTAACCCGGAAATGCTTCCTCGTCGTATCGAGGACAGAGATGGGGAATCCAGGTATGCTGCCCTGCCGACGTCTCCCAAGGTTCCGTTTTCTGTGGTGCTCTCTCGCGACCAGGGTGCGAGGGTGACTCCAATATTGAGTTGATGGGGCCCACTCTCATGTTATTTCTGTGGCGGACGTTGGGTGCGATATACGTTCTGTAGACCACGTTGTAATCTAGCATATTCTTGTTAAATATAATCAGGAACGATATGCTTGTCATGTAGATACTTGCTGTTATAATTAATAGATGGCATTTCTTCATTTTTTTTTTGCAGTGCTTTCCTCTATTCTTATTTTATTTTGTAATATATTTTTTCTGTAGACGTTTTAGTAACGTGTTTGTTAGGCCTGGTTTAATATGCTTTTATGAATCTGGCAAAAATTTCAGCCATATTAGTTAACACAATTATATTAATTTTTCACATAACTGATGACACTGAAATTATAACATATTTGGTTCGTAGGTCTATATTGGGCACACACTTGTATCGACACCATTCACTATTATTTTATTTGTTTGTCCGAATTCAAACAAGACACAATGCTAATTGTTTAATTGCATTTGTATATATAATAAAGTGTGTATATATATATAGCACTGCCACTCACTGGGAATCAGTCAAATCCCGTAAGTATAGAGAACTGGATCACCACTACAATTTTGTCCCCATTGCTTCTGAGACACTCGGCGCCTGGGGTAAGAGTGCCACCAGTTTTTTGAAGGAACTGGGTTCTTGGCTAATTGAAACAACAAGGAACCCTAGAGCTGCCAGCTTCCTTTTCCAGCGCCTCAGCGTGGCGATACAAAGGGGAAATGCACACTGCATTCAGGGTTCCTGCCCACCATCTGAGGAGCTGGAGGAACTCGACAACTTATGATAATCATCTTTGTACCACATATGTAACTCCTTTTTTGTAACAAAGTTTAAATAAAACATATATATATATATATATATATATATATATATATATATATATATATATATATATATATATATATATATATATATATATATATATATATATATATATATATATATATATATATATATATATATATATATATATATATATATTTACTGGCACCACCAGTAAACCACTTTTTGTACTATTAATTTTATAGTCCGGAAAAAATAAAGCTAAAAACCAAACCTAAATATTCCTAGGCCTAGTACAATATAGTACATATATGTACCATAATAGGCCTGAGATATTGTGTATTAGGCCTAGGATTACTAGTAGAGGTTAGGTTAAATTAGGTCTTTATATTGCGGATAAACAAAATTCGCGTTTCTCCAAATTCAGTAATAGAAAAGTCAACTTTCTGGTGGTCTATCACTACATATTGATACTTTCCATAAAATAGTTACCACACGCACACGCGCATGCACACGCGCATGCACGTACAAACACAGCCTTCAGGAACCTGTGTAAGGAATCATTCAGAATCTTGTATACCACATATGTAAGACAAATCCTGAGTTATGCGGCCCCAGCATGGAGCCCGTACCTTGTCAAGCACAAGATGAAGCGGGAAAAAGTTCAAAGGTATGCCACTAGACTAGTCCCAGAACTAAGAGGCATGAGTTACGAGGAAAGGCTGCGGGAAATGCACCTTACAACACTGGAAGACAGAAGAGTAAGGGGAGACATGATCACAACCTACAAAATCCTCAGGGGAATCGACCTGTTAGACAAGGATAAACTGTTCAACACTGGTGATACACAAACAAGGGGACACAGGTGGAAAATGAGTATCCTCATGAGCCACAGGGACGTTAGAAAAAACTTTTTCAGTGTCAGTAGTTAACAGGTGGAATGCATTAGGCAGTGATGTGGTGGAGGCTGACTCCATACACAGTTTCAAATGTAGATATGATAGAGCCCAGTAGGCTCAGGAATCTGTACACCAGTTGATTGACAGTTGAGAGGCGGGACCAAAGAGCCAAAGCTCAACCCCCGCAAGCATAAATAAGTGAGTACACACACACACGCTTCTTGTTACCAACAAAACTATATAAATGTCGGCACCGTCATTGAATGCCATTATGAAATACTCAAACAAAGAGTTCCCAATTCTTCAAAACTATGATAATTTTTTTTTATTGCCCCGTGGGGCGAGTTTATCGGACAGCTCCACTCATCCTGTGAGTGGACATACCACCATAGCAGCATGTACAACCAGAATAATAACTACAGCGTTACGCTTCGATGGTAGAATTATCAGTAATCTGAACCTTCAATTGAGAGATTACGTCCAAGAATGCAAATCAAACCACCATGTTTCATGCTGTTTGGTATGTTATAGAAATCTGTTCTTGCACCTGGACTTACACTAACCAGAGAACCCGTGAGAATGTTGACATAAAACCCATTAAGGCCAAAAACTGATCCACCGTTGTTGTTAAAGATTCACTACCTGGAACAAAGTTCCAAATAGCACGGGCTATGGTGAGCCTGTAGTACTGATCCACTAAAAATCACACCGGCTCGCGAAATTGGCGTCAAGTTCCGTTTTCTGTTCGTGAGTCCTCGGTTAGGTTAAGGTCGGCCAATTTAGTACGTCAGTTTAGTGATGTTGTGAACGCTCGAGAGGACGAGCTGAAATTACTCTAGCTCCTATGCTGCAGCATTGGAATTAACAATGTGGATACTATGGCCATGGACCATTATACCCTCTCAGACCATGGATCACTGTTCCCGCTCAGACCATGGAACACTGTACCCGCTCAGACCATGGATCACAGTACCCACTCAGACCATGGAACACTGTACCCGCTCAGACAATGGACCACAGTATCCGCTCAGACCACGGACCACTGTACCCGCTCAGACCATGGACCACTGTACCCGCTCAGACCATGGACCACTGTACCCGCTCAGACCATGGAACACTGTACCCGCTCAGACCATGGACCACTGTACCCGCTCAGACCATGGACCACTGTACCCGCTCAGACCATGGACCACTGTACCCGCTCAGACCATGGAACACTGTACCCGCTCAGACAATGGACCACTGTACCCGCTCAGACCATGGACCACTGTACCCGCTCACTGACGTCCCCACCAGGAAGACGGGAGGAGGAAATATGAGTTCCTCCGATGCTAGTTTTAGAACGTTAACAGTTGGCAATGGCTCATAAATAACACCAAGCGAATATACGCACGCACACGCGAGTAACCAAAGCGGGAATAACAGTGGAAATATCACGGGAATATATATGATCATTCCGCGCGTTTATCAGTGACGGGACGAAAACAACGACGTTTTCTTCGTCCTTGTAAACAATACTTTTCGCCGCTAAACAATAGTTTTTATATCAATCTAGATGATAATCCATTTCTCCTGTTTTCCCTGTAGATTATCATCACAGATTTTCGAGGCTTAAATTAATATTTCTCTTAAAAGTATCTCACAAGCATAAAGATTGACAAATAAAACGCAGTTAATCTATATCTACAAGATAATCTATTACAGGTTGTAGGCCAGATCCTTGTGGTTAGCCTCACGCAACTTGCCGTGGTGAATTGTGACTGTATGGGGAGTGTCGTAGGGTGACTGTGGTCGACTCCCATGACCGTCTTTAAGTTGTATTCGCTCCTATTACAAAAGGCAACAAAAATCGAGTCTTAAATTTGGGGTTGATTGTCCGTAGAGTGTTTTCTACCCTTTGTCCCACTTATCGACGTTCAGTCAACGTTGATTTAACGTCGATAATTTTGATTCGCCATTCTCTAACATGTTTTTTTTTTTAACTGGGAGAGAGAATGGGAGGGACAGTAGGATAGGGAGGGAGAATGGGATAGGAGAAAGACTGTGAGGCAGTGAGAGAGAATAGTAGAGACTTTACAGTCTCCGTGGTGTAGTGGTAAGACACTCGCCTGGCGTTCCGCGAGCGCTATGTCATGGGTTCGTATCCTGGCCGGGGAGGATTTACTGGGCGCAATTCCTTAACTGTAGCCTCTGTTTAACGCAACAGTAAAATGTGTACTTGGTTGAAAAAACGATTCTTCGCGGCACGGGATCGTATTCCAGGGACCATAGGATTAAGGACTTGCCCGAAACGCTACGCGTACTAGTGGCTGTACAAGAATGTAACAACTCTTGTATATATCTCAAAAACAGACATAGACCCCGGGCACCGTCGAGTACCCTGTCAAATATTCAATGAAATAATCTTTCTATAGAAGAGAATATCTTTATCTGAGGTTGAGATCAAACGCATGGGGCTAGTCTCACCAAACTTTACAGTGTCACCGGTGTTGGGTCGGGGAGGGTCACTGGCGGGTCGGGATCGAGCCTCCTGTTCCCTTTTTGCATGAAACGGCCAATTACACTAATTTCCTATCTTCACTAAGATTCATCTACCTGTCGGAATATTATTTCCTACTTGGATTAAATAATAGTTTTGTTTATGTAGTTTATTGACGACGTGTTCAGTGAAAATTGTTACAGGGACGAAGGGGAAGTGGTAAAGGATAGGAAAAGTGGCGAATAATAAGAAAAGTGCAGAAAGATACGGAAGATTGTGAAGGGTAAGGAAGGTGGTGAAGGACAGGAAAAAGGCATTTACCCATTTACCTAGCTGAAAATAGGTATCTGGGGGGTTAAGCAACTGTTTTGGGGAAGGGTTGCGTTTTGGGACTTTGATGAGCTTGCAACGTCATAATAATAATATTTATTTACAAGAAGGTACAGTGGGTATGTGAAATTACATTAGATTGCAATTTTTACATTCTTGCAAAGCCATTAACTCGCAGAACGTTTCGGGGAGTAATAATTTGAAATCGTCACGCTAATAAGAACTCTCCATAAACCTCTTATCTTTAGCATGTTCGAAGCTTGCTCTGGTAATACTGAACATGTATAACGTAACTCTCCTTGTTGTGTTTCAAAAGTTATAGGTGATAAATAAAATTATTAGGATACCCCTTTTTTGGCTAAAAAATTTACATTTTCTGTTAAAGTCCACCGCGGACTATAGAAAACATATTTGTATTAACGTTTGTTATGAATATAGATAAATCTAGTCCCAGTCAGTCTTTCAGTCTCTGTCTGTCTCTCTCGCTGTCTGTCTGTCTGTCTGTGTGTCTGTCTGTCTGTCTGTCTCTCTCTCTCTCTCTCTCTCTCTCTCTCTCTCTCTCTCTCTCTCTCTCTCTCTCTCTCTCTCTCTCTCTCTCTCCTCTCTCTCCTCTCTCTCCTCTCTCTCCTCTCTCTCTCTCTCTCCTCTCTCCTCTCTCTCTCTCTCTCTCTCTCTCTCTCTCTCTCTCTCTCTCTCTCTCTCTCTCTCTCTCTCTCCTCTCTCTCTCCCCTCTCTCTCCCCCCTCTCTCTCTCTCTCTCTCTCTCTCTCTCTCTCTCTCTCTCTCTCTCTCTCTCTCTCTCTCTCTCTCTCTCTCTCTCTCTCTCTCTCTTTCTCTTTCTCTTTCTCTTTCTCTCTCTGGAGAGAGAATGGGAGGAAGTGTGTGTGTGTATTATTAAATATGAATATTAAATACAATTTAATATTCTGTTCTGGGGAATATAGTGTGTATTTACTGTTCCGGGACAGTTCTATGTCCCAGAACTGAGAGGTATGAGCAACGAGGAAAGGTTACGGGAGCTAAACCTCAAGCCTCTGGAAGACAAGAGTAAGGGGAGACATGATAACCACCTACAAAATACTCAGGAGAATTGACAGGGGTGGACAAAGACAAACTCTTTAGCACAGGTGGAACACTGTGGGGACACAGGTGGAAACTTAGTACCCAAATGAGCCACAGAGACAGAAATAATTTATTCAGTGTCAGAGTAGTTAACAAATAGAATGCATTAAGCAGTGATGTGGTGGAGGCTGATTCTATACACAGTTTCAAATGTAGATTTAATAGACCCCTGAAATGCTCCATAATCTGTAAACCAGTTGATTGACAGTCAAGGGGCAGGATCAAAGAGCCATAACTCTACAACCCGTCCTCTTAAAAATAACGTCACTTTTCGGTGGTATGCGCGCTATGGACAAATTTGGACGTAATTTGAAATGAAATCGACTCACAAAAGTGACTCACTGTTCCGTTTTCTGTTTGGGTCGTCCTCGTAAGCACAACTAGGTGAGTACACACAATCGCAAAATAAAAAAAACTTGCATGAAACTCTGCCAAAATTACTAAATATTTATCCAAACAATTTGTTTAAAGGTCCAGTGTAACTCACACAAGGGGCAACAACTTCAAGATTAACACGCCACAATATAAGACGGAAACGAAGATAAGTCTTTTCATCCATAGGGTAATAAACGTATGGAACCGCCTACCCGCCGGAGCCGTGTAATCGTCCCGGCTTGGCGCCCTCTATGGATACTTGCCTTCTAACCTACTTGGGCTACGTTATTCCCATAATAGACAAAAATAATTTCCTAATCAATATAATTGATGCCACAAATGTAAATGCTAGCGAGTATGATAGCAAATGATCATTCCTGGCGCTCCAGTATCTTTCTCTGCTCTCTAGTGTTCTGTTCTTTCTATAGTTTCTCCACGCCCTTTTACTTAGTTCCTTTGCTAGCTTTCAACTCTGATTAAACCATAGGTTTCTCATCTGCATTTCATTTGTTTTTTCCTTTTGGACTGGGTCGAATTTGTCTGCTGCCTCCTTACACTTCTGTGTGATGTAGTCCATCATGTCTTGAACCGTCTTTCCTCTGAGCTCTGTTTCCCCAAGCTATTTCAGTTAGGAATTTCCTCATCTCATAGTTTTCCTTCCGGAATGCCGGGCCCCATTGCTTTCTGGTTCTCTTCCTTGAGTACATTAAACGTTCTTCGACTAGATACTCAAACAACAGTACACTGTGATCACTCATACCCACAGGGGGGTTGAAGACTGATTTCCCTTATGTCTGAATCGTTCAGAGTGATTACTAGGTCGAGTCTTGCTGGTTCATCATTGCCTCTCATTCTCGTGAGACCCTTGACATGCTAACTTAAAATGTCAGTGTGTGTGTGTGTGTGTGTGTGTGTGTGTGTGTGTGTGTGTGTGTGTGTGTGTGTGTGTGTGTGTGTGTGTGTGTGTGTGTGTACAGGCTTCTTGTCCCTCGACAAAACGATTATATTATTATTATTATTTTGAGTAATGGTAATGTCTTATCACAGACATAATAACATACTATAAAAACCCACACTTATCTTTATGTGCATTTTATGTAAAAATTTTAACTACACGAAGTCTTGCGCATAAAACACATACACTGTATAAGTGTGGGGTTGTATCCTATAGCCTAATAATAATAAATAATAAAAGGAATTATTATTATTATTATTTAGGCATTTATTTATTTTAGGCATGTGTTAGGTTCGTTTAGGTTCCATTGGCAGTTACTGTACGTGTAGTCAGTGTAGCTACATTCTACACCCGACTTGCATTTAAGGCCTAAATGTGTTACCAGTACGACATCGATGACGTCGCTGCCAGACGTAGGGCGCGTTAACCTCGACAAATTAAATTTAGTCTCTCATGAAGGCCAAAAGAGCCACAATTCACGCTGTCACTGTATAACGCTTGCCTTGTGAATATCGCCAGTTACTAAGCTGTATAATATCTATCTATAGCAGCAGCAACAACAACTTTTCTGTCAAATATGGTGTATATATAATAATGTATATTATGCTAACCAATAGGAACACTTTGCTTCTCGGTGAATATATGCTTGAGTTGTTGACCAGACCACACACTAGAAGGTGAAGGGACGACGACGTTTCGGTCCCTCCTGGACCATTCTCAATCGACTTGAGAATGGTCCAGGACGGACCGAAACGTCGTCGTCCCTTCACCTTCTAGTGTGTGGTCTGGTCAACATACTGTAGCCACGTTATTGTGACTCATCGCCTGCATATGCTTGAGTTGATTTTGATTCTTTGATTCTTCATAATTAAGTAAATCACTGACGCAAATTGTTCAGTTTAGAGACTATTGTGGTCCAGTTCTTTAAGCAGTTGTTCTTTAAAAGTCTATTAATATATATATATATATATATATATATATATATATATATATATATATATATATATATATATATATATATATATATATATATATATTATAGACATTAAACTGTTTAAATTTCTTATCAAAATTGTAACTTGCTTAGTTAAATTAATTTAGCCCATTAGGTAACCTTTTCTATTACCGCCCACAGGATAGGTATGGTGTCCACTACCACCCACAGGATGGGTATGTGTCCACTACCATCCACAGGATGGGTATGGTGTCCACTACCACCCACAGGATGAGTATGGTGTCCACTACCACCCACAGGATGGGTATGGTGTCCACTACCACCCACAGGATGTGTATGGTGTCCACTACCATCCACAGGATGGGTATGGTGTCCACTACCATCCACAGGATAGGTATGGTGTCCACTACCACCCACAGAATGGGTATAGTGTTCACTTCCACCCACAGGATGGGTATGGTGTCCACTACCATCCACAGAATGTGTATGGTGTCCACTTCCACCCACAGAATGGGTATAGTGTTCACTTCCACCCACAGGATAGGTATAGTGTCCACTACCACCCACAGGATGTGTATGGTGTCCACTACCATCCACAGGATGGGTATGGTGTCCACTACCATCCACAGGATAGGTATGGTGTCCACTACCACCCACAGAATGGGTATAGTGTTCACTTCCACCCACAGGATGGGTATGGTGTCCACTACCATCCACAGGATAGGTATGGTGTCCACTAGCACCCACAGAATGGGTATAGTGTTCACTTCCTCCCACTGGATAGGTATAGTGTCCACTACCACCCACAGAATGTGTATGTTCATGATAAAAGAACAAACTCAAATTACTTCTGACCTGACACAATCCAGTTACAGTTTAGGGCAGATAATGACCATAATATGAACAAGGAAGTTAAAAGCAATAGCTGTAGCCTCTGTACACGGATCAACAAAACCGGGTATAACATAAGACAAATTATATATTATTAAGACACAAGTACATAGTACAAATAGGTGAGTATAGAGAAGCCAGTTCACCAACCATTATACACTGCTGGCCCGGCAGCTGGAGCTCAACTCCGCTGAAATATAATTATAAGTAAGACAGTTTCAATCGAAGATGAACAGAGCGGCGGACGAAGCACAGTGAAAAATTAAGTCTGATGGTGGTGGTGGAGAAGTCTTTTCGTATATGAAAACTGTTTCCTATTTACTTTTTGTTGTACTAAACTGTACCTAACTGAACATAACCCAGTCTAACGTAATGTAACGTAGCCTAACTTAGGCATACCGAAAGCCAGCCTAACTCGACGGTATGTATTGTTCTAGCAATTAGAAGACGAGCTGTATGCGAAACGCCTGCATACACTTCGACGGTCCCCTGGTGGTGGTGGGGAGGAGCAGACAGTGTTGGTGTCCTCCCCAGCAGCAGCAGCAGCAGCAGCAGCGGCGCCTCGGTGTGCAACAGTTGGTTGGTGACTAGTGTGGCAGATGGGTCGTTGTGCCCTCCTGCTCCTCGCTCTACCCTCCCCCCGGCCCTCCTCACCACCGCTCTGCCTCTTACACTTCCGTAAAGGTAAGTCGCCTGTCACCATTGGCTGTTGCTGTGAGCTTGAGGCAAGGTGCTGCTGGAGTCCGGGGCGAGTGTGTGTGTGTTCTGGGTGACAGCTGACTGACCAGGAGAGATGCACCTGACCGCGTGGCTGACCACACGGCAGTGGGACTAATAGTGGGTCTAGAGTAGTCGTGGGTCCAAGAGATTAGAGTGGGGGGACGAATGACTGGTCGTGGGTCGAGGTGTGTTGTTCCTCCTCATGTAAGCACTGTAAAGACACAATTATTATCTCTAGCAAACGGGAATTTCAGCACTAGGGGGAAATAACAACTCTGAAGTTCATGAACAAGTGGGTTTGGAAGGGTTTTCAATGCTAAATCTTAACAGGTTTGGAGAGACCACGGCCGCGATGCCTCAGCGTAACGAATTGTTTAAAACGCTGAAGGTCATGTTACGGAGCACAACAATACCTTGGATGGTAACAATTTGGCTTGTCAACTCTACGCGCTCTCCATAAACAAGTGTCTTGACAAGTTCTCGGTTGACAGTAGTGCAGTTGTAAGCACAATACTGATACAATTGTATTCATCTATTAACAATCACATGTAAAATTAATGTGACTATTGATCCTCAAAGAGGTGACACAATAACATATCCTATTCCCAAATCTAAAAAGTAAACAAAAGTAAATAAACAAACAGTATCTCTGGGAGTTTGCACCACCTGCTGATGAAGACTTTACTAAATGTAAAATGTAAGCAAACTATTCCCTACTTTGCGTCATTATGTAATTGAATTAAAAAAAATCTCAGAATCGGAAACAACTCTCAATGGTGCTGAAGAAGTGTGTAAGTAATTCATTCAGTATGTACTACCACAAATCTTACTTATCCAGAGTTTGTTTACAGCAGGTAATTCCTGCACATGACTGCGAAGCTGGCGCCCAGTTGGGTGGGTGTGGAGCAGGATTAGTTACTATTTACCAAGACACGCTGCACATGTAAATTGCCTTGTATAGAGACTTGTAGGCCACGTCATGAACCACTTGCAATATTAAGACTTGTGTATATATGAATATACATATATAAATATATGCATATGTGCCCCGATATGTTAAAAATTGTGTAACTAGCTTCACAATTTGTTACTTGGCTTAATGAACTAGAGTCCAGTTCCGGGCGCATTATTTTCCTCTAACTCTTTCCACCACTGCCCACGGGATAGGTATTGGGTGCGTAATAGGTTGAAATAAACACACTATGTAAATAGTTATATTACTGTAGGGTGCTGAGCGATTCCATGGGGGATATTGAGCGGCACTGTAGAATATTGAGCAGTACAGGAATACAGATGACGCCAGGGGTCGTGTAGCAAGGAGGGCGCGGGCCGGCCTCAGAATAGTACCTTGCCCAGGGACGACGACACGTGGCGCTCTGAACCCCTGCTCGTGGTGGCTGCTGCACCACGGCTAGTAGCGCCCGTGCTAGCTAAGCTCGGGTCCCGTAATTGGGTTGATATTTTACACACAGTATTACTTACATATAGTAAGTCTAATATTGTACAAGGTGGTCCTAAACTCTCCGTACAAACGCGTTTTCTAATCACAACTTGCACATCTTCTCTACAGTAGTCTGAATGGGTGTCATTTTTCCGAAAACACATGGGGCTGCGACTCTCCTTCACATGGGACACTTGACAGCCATGAAGATACGAAACATGAACACATTCGAAAGGCAGAGTTGCGCCCGTCACCCAGTGTGTTGAGGCGAGTTCGTCACATGTTAGGAGATGAGGCTATATTAATTATAGTTACTCTTTGGTTGTGCTCGGGCAGTCATCCCTGTATGAATTGAAATGTCATTATAACGTCTCACGGGATTGGAATTAATTCACTCCATTGCAATTTCAGATGCAATACACAATGTTTAAACAGGTATAGAAATTTCTTTATATATAGCTTTGATTAGTTTAGGGTAGCTGCACTAATGCAGATGTACCTAATGTATTAATAAAAAAATGTTTACACAATAATATATTAAAAGATATTTAGTTTTTTAATACGGTTTAGCTGTGGCTAAAGTTAGTCACTGTAGATTTAGCAGTCAATGACGAATAGTCACGGTATAACATTTTCATTAGTTACTGGAGTTCGTTAGAGAGCACACAACTCAAGTTTATAAACGGTCTCGTTTGTGATAACGTTTTGTTTTCTAATGCGCCATAGTAGTTGACAATTGACCAACCTGTGACTTCATTTTTAATCTATTGGTGCTGAGCGCTCTTGCTCTCTCTCACTGTCACACTCGCTCACTACACGAGCAAGAAAACGGTTAACTTGCTCACGAAGAACTGCCCCGGCACTAAGCGAAACGCCTTGAAGGAGAAATGTCATTTGTCTTCACATGCCCACTTGAGGACTGTCAGCCCTCAACGATCTCTGTATATAGGCAAGATGACAACGTCTCCTTCAAGTCGCCTGACTATGCACAAACAAGAAAATTCCATCTGAGAACATGTAATTTCGGTCTTTTTTCTCAGATTTAACAAATGAAAACAGGTTTCAAGTAAACCAATCTAAATGGTAGCATGTGACCTCTAATGTTTACGAGGTCAGGTCAGAAGAGCTGGAGGTTGATCCTTAAAAGCATTAAAGTACAGTATGTAAAAGTTGTCCTTACTGCATTAATAGTATAATTTGACTCGGAGAAAGTCCTACTTAGACATGTGTAAAAGTGTACTTGGACTTGAATGTCCCTCCCCAACTTGTCTCCCCCTTACTTCACAGGCCCCCCCCCCTCCTTTCTCCTCTCCCCCCCCTCCCACGATGGCGAGTCTAATACCCGGCTAGATATGCTTGCTGGGATCATGTCGCCCTGGCGCATTGAGAGCCGATTTATAGAGGGATTAGAGTATGTCTGGAGTAGGAGGGGCGAGGGGGGGTGGTGGAGGTGGTGGGTGTGGGTGTGGGTGGAGTGGTTGTGGTGGGAGTGTGAGAATAGTGGCATTGGATGTGGGAGGGTGGTGGCAAAAGGCTATACATGGTTGCAGTGGGATGGAGATTACATTGTTGAAGATGACACCAATTTATTGTAAGTGAGAGAGATTGTGAACGGTGGGATTTATGGAGGGAGTGGACGGGTCTTGTCAGGTAATAAAGTACAATAAAAATACCAAGAGAGAGGAGCATACCTGAGTGTCTTCGCGCAGTCATGCACGGGATATTTCCTGCGCGGGCGCTTGCGACACATGGAGGGGTAGGTAAGGTAGACTGCTGACCCAACCACTATTGCACCACAACTTCTCGACCGTCGCACAGTATGACATCACTCTTTTCCCTCCCACCCCCCTCTTAACCCCCCCCCCCCTCTCTGCTAATTGACGGTGTAAGAACTAAATAGTCAGTGCAGACGATGAGTCGCAATAACGTGGCTGAAGAATCGACTTGAGAATGGTCCAGGACGGACCGAAACGTCGTCGTCCCTTCACCTTCTAGTGTGCGGTCTGGTCAACAATAGATAGTCAGTGTTGGAACTTGTCCTGCAGCAGGGTAAAAAGTTATGAAGGTCGTGGCAACAGTCGAACTTCAGAAGGAACAGTTTAGACAAATCATGGTAAATGATGTACAGATATGGATTGCAAAGTGCAGAACAATATCCCTCAGTTGGAATGTGGTTAATTCTTCAATTACTGAATCGGGTGTTAATGAAGATTACAACGCTATTAAGGCACTGACTAGCTTGTTCTACTCTGCAGAAGCAAATCTAAGCTGGCGATTATCCTTAGTAGTCTTGGCCTTTGGGATCTTCAGTGATTGCATCTAGGAACATCAGTTTTCAACAATCTGAAACAACTAAAAGATGTTTTATAAATACTGTACTATGTATAATTATTGTAATAAATCGTTTAATGAACAAAAAATAAATATTGACGGTGTTTAATCAATTTAAAAACGTTGATTAAACCTTTTTTCGAAAATGTTTTGCCTGTACGGACGAAGCCTAACATTTTGGTTACGGGTGACGTTATTTCCTCAGCTAACAGGTTTAAATGACTGTTGGGAAGGGGGAAAAAGTTTTACAGATTCCGTGAATTGTTGGGGAGGTTCCCGCCCGCTCCTCGCTGTGTGTGCTCGAGGTCTCACTGGGGGAGACATCTCCCGTCACGTAGGATGCAGTCGCACCTCCACAGATCTCCAGTATCAGCTAATGATACTGGTAATGGCTCCAAAGGGCCACCACTTTAAAGGGCTACTCATGCCTGTGCCACCTTTTGGGTGGCTTAATCTTCATCAATCAATCGCTGTGTGCGCGTCTACGGTATATACACAGTCATCTTTGACCCCTTGTTCCGCTGCAGCTGCCTGTTCTGCAGTATATTGACGCGATCAAAATGTCATATCTGCTTTCGAAATTGAGGTAACTTCTACCTATATGTGTAGTTCATTCCATGTTCCAGACGGCGAAGGAGACGTTTTCTCTTACTCATCTGTGTCTAGATTCACCCCATGTCCTCTCCTTCTTTCGCTACACACGTTAACATATCCTCTTTTATACCCTATCAATTCACACAAGTATTTTCTATCGTGTCTTTTTTTTTCCTTCGTTTTTCTAACATTGTGTAGCTTATTTCAGTCATTTTCATACCTTTTCTCATTTAGTTCCTGGACATGCTGTACTTCGTTTCAAAATCTTAAATAATTTTAAAGTTTCATTGCATGATTTTTGATGTACGGACTAAACGTCGGGGTTGCATGCTCTAGGACTGGTCTTAGGTAGGTCGTGTATTCTCTCTCCATTTTGTGGTACCTTGCACTTCTTGGTATCGAGTTCTAATAATCCTTTCTTAGACCAATTTTGTAACCTGTCTTTAGGTCTTTTTGGAGTGTACTGTAATCTTCTGCCACTATTGCTCCCTTACTTTGTATTATCCGCAGAAATCGACGTGTAGGACTTAACCCTCGTGGTTAAAGCATCGACATACTTGAGGAATAGGAGGTTTCAAGGACCGATCCTTGGGGGGGG